TCTATCATGTTTCTAATTGTTCTTTTGAGTTCCATGTCCTGTGTTATCTCTAGGGTGTTCTCATTGTACTCCTCTAGAGCACTATTGATACTTAGTGGGGATATATTATTTGGATTTTCCATGTTATTATTTTTTCCCCTGTGCTTTTGACATGTGAATATCTTTTGTAGTCTCTGATTCTTGTGTGAGACTCAAGCCTTCTTTTGTTAAGTTTAAGTCTGCTTCTTTTTGTAAACTTTATGTGTCTTTGTGGTTTACTCTTTGGGCGTGAAAAGCTGGTTCCTCTAAGCTTCCGTCCTCTCTTTTGTTTTTATATTGGAGTTGCCTAAATGCTTTCGTCTTCAGGAGTTCCCACAGAGACCCAAGGTTGAGGATCAGATGCTCTCAGGGTTTCTCCTAAGGTCTGGATCCCTCCAGGAAAGATTTTGACCTCAGGAATTTGGGTGTTGGACTGGCCTGGGAGCAGGGACCAGGAAAGATCTAGGGCAGCTGGTCTAGGACAGCTGGTGGCAGTCCCTCCCAGAGATGCAAAGGTAGATGGGGACAGGAAGAGGCCCCAAGGGCTCCTGGGAACGGTACTGAGTAACTGGGTTGGTCTGGATGGGCATCCAGGAGAGAGGCTGGCGGGTTGTGCAGCCCAGGGAAGCAGAGGGAGGTGAGAGCGGGACCAGGCCAAGAGGGTCCTGGAGAGAGGCAGGTGGGTTGTGCAGACCAGGGAAGCAGGGGGAGGTGAGGGCAGAGCCAGGCCCTGATGGCTTCGAGGAGAGAGGCTGGTGGGTTGTAAAGACCAGGGAAGCAGAGGGAGGTGAGGGCGGGACCAGACCCAGAGGACTCCTGGGGACCCCAGAAGGAACTGGGTTGGTCTGGATTCAAAGGATTAGGAAGCAGTGGTGGTTCCCCCAGTGTCTGGGGTGCCAAGACAAGGAATGGGACAGGTCCCAGGCTAGGAGGAGGTGGAGGGGAGATGAGAGGGTGAAGGAGGCTGGGGGAGGCAAGGCACAGAGGGCACAATCGACTTACCCTGGAGAGAGGCCTGCAGGTTGGAGAGAGGCCTGTAGGTAGTGCAGGCCCAGGGAAGCAGAGGGAGGTCGGTGAATACCTTTTAAGATGCTTCTTAGCCGTCATTACTTCTAATTTTGAGAACTCTCTATTCAGCTCCTTAGCCTAGCTTTTAATTGGGTTAGCTCTTTTTTTGATTGTTTTTTGAGTTTGTTATAAATTCTGGATGTTAAACCTCTGTCAGATGTGTTGCTGGTGAAGATTTTCTCCCATTCTGTGGGTTTTCTCCTCACTTCCTTGGTTGCTTCTTTTGATGTACAGAAGCTTTTTAGTTTAATGAGGCCTCATTTGGTGACTCTTGACCTTGTTTCCTGGGCAATTGATGTCTGGTTTAAAAAATCCTTCCCTGCACCTATATCTTGTAGGTTATTGCCAGTGTTTTATCCTAACAGTTTCAGAGTTTAGGCTTCCCACTGAGGTCTTTGATTCATTTGGAGTTAACTTTCTGTAAGGTGAAAGATAGGGGTTTA